CGTGCAAGCACGCCTCGTATGGCGGTGCATGGCTTGGATGCATGCTGCGTGTGCGGAATCTCAGCCACACGCCGGCCGACTCGATTCAGAGATTCTCCATGTCGTCTACTTTTGGCTCCGGGTATGGCTTCTATAATTAGGCCAGAGCTGCCTTTGAGAGCCTGGATGAACCGTGACCGTGCGTCGTGAGCAGATCGAGTGGCAGAGGTTGCGCAGCTTCACCTCCTCCCACCGCGTGAATAGCGATTTGCGTGATCCGGCCAATCAAGCCCCTGGTCCAAGACTTTGTTTTCGACTTCAAATGATTTAAGCCTCGGATGGATTGGTCAAGGATCGAGAATTCGATTCAGCATTGACCTCGGACTGCACCTTGCTGATGCAATCTCGATCCGGTTCCCGACGTGGCTCAATCAACTCGTGACTGTTATAGATTCCGGCAAACTTGCGCACCCATACCGGATGCCTATAACTAGTAGTACTGCGACGCGGACTGGTAGTCTTGAGCGGAAGGTGCGACGCAGATGTGATCGATCATAAAGGCGCTGCTCGACACCCATGACTGCGCTCATGCCTGTGCAACTTCGCGCCCGGCCAGTAGCTACGGCGGACTGCTAGTTGTTGGGGACCTTGGTGCTTGTCAACTCACGCTCTTTGACTTGCGCCTCTCGTGGCGCGACAAGGCTGACGTTGACTTTGACAGTCACATGCTGCCTCGATGAGCCGTGCAACAGTGCAGCCACTGACTCGAAGAAATTAGGGATGCATAGCACGAAGCAGACGCTGACTCAAGACTCTCTTGGACTGATGATGGTGGTAGGCTCAAAAGAAGAGCCCAATGAGCCTTCGTGCCGCTGGGCAAGAGCACGTGACTGGAGAGATGGCGCGGTGTGATGCGCGTCTGCGCGTCTACAATAGGACTCAGTGACTGCGTGGTGAGTGTGAGCGTCAAAATAGTCACAAGTAGGCGTCGAGCCACATGCCAGTCCATCGCGCAACGCACCCATGTCCCCCATCCCCGGCCCCTACTCATCTTCCATTCGACGCCGAGGTCGATGTGTCAACGCTGCGCAAAGCAGACCATGGTCGTCCACCTGCTGTGCACGTCGCTTACCCAGCCGCTGTAGGGGCATGTGGTTTTGCGAGGATGCCTCTCTCATTGCGCTTCGCCGATTTGGACAGGGAAAATCCGCAATACCACGACAGATCGAGCAGAGAGAGCATCAGAGGGTGGACTCCGAAGGTTGAGAGACCAGGTTCGAGGAGGCGCAACTGGCAATCTTCTGCGGCCCTACACCCATCACCTGGCCAAGCGAAGTCGTCGTCCTCACGTTCTACTCAGTCGCTCTCTTCGGCCAAGGGAATTAGTCGTCAGCTGCTAAAGGACTCGCGATGCCGGGTAGATCGGAGACAGCTTGTGCTGGAGTGGAGCGGACCAGAAGCGCAGGCGGTGTGTGCATGGAGTGGTGGATGTATGCAGTCTCCTAGCATGCAGTGCGCGCTGCGAGCCTTGCGGCAAAGCGTAGACGACAACGAGAAGGAGGATGTGCTGGTTGGCAATATCATCGATGTTCTCAATGAATACACAAGGCAGTTGAAGGAATTCAGGCACACCTGCCAGGACGCACAGAATGCGACTCAAAGTTCCGCAGTGCAGCAAGTCGAGGCAGTGACTCTGAGCCGAGAGGCGAGATCGAATCTGGAGCAAGCAGCTCTTGAGCTGGGAAGCCTCGAGGTCACGCCTCATTCGCAGGAAAATGTCACGCTGGTGAGCTGAAGGGAAGGCAAAGCTCAGCCTGCAGCATTGCTTCGCTAATCACCAAAATTTCTGCACTCGATATGCACAGAGCAGCAACGGTGAGCGCAACAAACCTGATATTGGGCTGCGAGCCACCCACCTCAATTCCATCTGCGAGAATCTCGTGGACAAGGACACTATAATAGGAGACACAGTATGTCAGCATTCTTGGTTACACTACGTCGGTGTGATCGAAGTAAAGCGCCTGACCAAGAGCGACCTCGATAGCGAAATGGTCGGCCAGGTGCTGAGGTACGCGGTGAGTCCATCTACAGACCTCGCCCACCCGTCTATCACTGATGGGGGTCTTTCCACCGTTCCTTCACACCATTTTGAATCGCAGCGCCAGCTCCTGATTGCGCACCCATTTGCGCGTTGGGTTCACGTCGTATCATGGACCGGCTTGAAAGTGAGGCTTTGGCAATTCAACGCAAACGGCGTGGTCTTATCCCGAGCTTTGGAGGTAGGCGACAAATCTGTGAGCTCTGAGCTGGAGCTCGATGAGCTTGGCAAACTGCTGCATCTCCTGCTTTCAGGAGAAGAGACCATTCTGCCACGGTGGACGCCTGTCAAAAGTCAAGAGATTCTTCAAGATGCCGCGAGAAAGGCACGTCTCAGCTCAGACCACATCCTGCGATCTCGCATCGTGAACGTCCGACCAGCTTTGAACGGCTCTCGCACGGTTGTCTTTGGTGCTGAAATCAGCGACGATTGCTCCGGCAGCTCGCATGAGCACCGCGGCAAGTTCGTCTTCGTCAAATGCAGCTGGCTACCAGAGCGTCTTGCCGATCACGAGCACCAAATACTGACCGAGCTCAGCGGCGCTAGCGGCGCGCCTCTGCCTCTCGTCTCGTTTGAGCTGGGCTGGACCACGTCCACTTCCTACACAATCAGCGACCAGAAGCCTCCGGCGGGCAAAAAGCCTGCGTCAAAAGGCCGGGTAGCCGCATACGCTGTGGTCTTCCTTCAGCATCGAGGCGACCAAATTCATCGCAGTCTGAAACTTTCAGACATGTCTCGTATATTCAGACAGCTTTCCGAGCAGCTCCATGCCTATGCAAAGCTCGGTTTTCACTACAGAGACCTCAACACAGGAAATGTCCTCATGAGGTACAATGAGCAGCGCGAAGCTGTCCTCCTTCTTGTTGATCACGGCAATGTCCGCAAATATGGCAGCGTGCATCGTGGCAAGGCGTCATCCTCGGACGGCTTTCTGCCCAAGCTTGTCCAAGATGACGCTCGGTCGGTCAACTCCTTCTTTGTCCCATCCGGCATGGAAAAGGCGAAGAGAGCAAGCTCCGAGTTTGGGCATGCGCTTGACCATGTGAGGGAAGCTCGGCGAAATCAGGCCGCGTGCGAAAGACATTCAGGGCTTTGGAACCATCACGAGTCCAAAGCTGTGAAGCAGGACTTGCTTTGGAGGCACAGCTACAAGGAATTGTTTTCGCTCACTCATCGATATTGTGACGACCTAGAATCTTCATTCTACATTCTGGTGTGGCTTTTGGCCAACGAAGCTGGACTGGAAGAGCTCAGCGAAGATCTAAGGAATCAGCACAGCAAAGAGTCATCTTGGTCCGCGGTTGGATTTCCTCTGGTTAGTCACTTGTTCCGTACCATCTCGATCTGGGGATCGCGCGCATGACTGATTTGCCAATCTCGTATTGCTGCGGCGAAATAGTTCTGCAAAAAGTACTTCAAAGACCTAAATCTCAGGACAGCGCTCGAGGACCTGCACGAAGTCATCTCGCAAACTCAGGACGAGACACGCCAAGCCTTGGCCGAATACTACGACGCGAAAATTCTCCAGGGGCGTAACGATCTACCTCTGAGTGAAATAGACAGTCGCCTGGCGAAAGTGCCCGAAATGCCTCTCACCGAGGCTGAGGAGAGATGCATGTCGGAAAGTGTGCCAAACATCTTCAGATACATCGAGTCCGAAGGAGCGGTGAGTGAGAGGGTCATCTTCTGCGTAACTGCTCCCGATTAATGCGCGACGACTGAGATGGACCCTTTGTCGCGTCCCCCGCTTAGAATTGGCGCGCACAAGACTTGGCTAAAGGCATGGCAGAGCTGGACATCTCCTCGTCCTGGTCTTACAACTCGTCTGATTGACTAGGCTTGACGAGTGTCACCACGTAGAAAATGCGCAAAGCAATCACTCGCGCCACTGCAACCCTGTTTTTCCCCTTCTCGTTTCGCATCCCCCATTCAAACGCGTCACACCTTGTGTCTGTACCCGCACCTCTTCATCTCTACGTACATCACACATCGTCACACGTGCCAGACCAGCCTGCTGGCCACAATTCACTGAACGTCAACATACCGTGGTGTCATCACGCATGAACATTCGCAGAGCCGCTTCTTGGCTCCCAATTCAGCTGCGCTAGAGGATATTGTGTGTGTTGATGTGTGGAACATCAGCGCTGCTGCGCCGCTGTGCCGCTGCGGTCCCCTAGGTCTCAGTGCTTTGGCAGCGTCGTTCGAGGCACTCCTTCCCAAAGGAAGACCGTTCGATTCGCACGCTGCCGTCCGATCTTCATCTCATTTACGGGTATTGATTGCTGCTCTGGTTTGACTCGCGCGCAGTCTATTGAGATCTTACATGATAGCGTGGAAATCGTGTTGGTAGGAAGGCACTAGCGGGAGCTGCTTGCGCCGATCGGAAGCGCTAAGGTGGCGTATCAATCTATGTGTGGTAGATAGTATGTACGCGGTCGATGGGTTGCACCCAACGAACCGATGAAAGACAACGATGCAATTTTGTTCATCTATTTGCGAATCGAGTGAACTTGGCGGCAAGAACCGTGATGATCCAATTTGATGCCGCAAAGGCAATCATGATACCGATCGAGCGACCACGGTTTGCGAAGCTGACATTGATCGGTGCGAAGAACTCCTGGCCGAACTCGTATTGACAGTATCGGCAAGCTTCAGAGTCTCCTGGGTTGTCCAAGTAGCCGGTAGCAGTGCGCAAGAAGTCTGCTGCATACGCTTGACAAGTTTGGCCACTTGGAGGGTCGAAGATGGCGAATTCGTTGAGGTCGCATCGAATCCTTAGATCTTGCAGCTCGTTCGCAATGAACCCTCCGACAGTGTGTGTAAGCGGGTTCAGCCAGTAGAGCCAGGCGCGCCAGAATGGCGTCATGGTGGCGTAAACGATGGTGACGCCGCAGAACAGACTGAAGGTCAGGACGATGAACGGAATGAAAAGCGTGCAGACGTAGATTGAAGGGGTAAGCGCAGCCATCGCTTGACCAAGGCCGATGGAGAAGAATTCCAAGACCAAAAGAAGGGCAAAGAAGTAGCCGGCGCGGTTGGAGTCCGATTGGAAACCTGTGACGAAGTAGAAGAGCAAGAAGTAGACGACAGCGCACAAGATTCCGTACGGAATCTCGGCCATCATTTGCGTGAGAGCGAAAACGACTGGCGTGTACATCTTGGAAGAATTCTCTCGCAAGAAGGTGGAACGTGCGATGATGTACATGGGACCGATGGATGCCAAGATGATAGCCGGCAAGACCGCGGTCATGAAGATACCGAAAATGCGGAATTGGATGCTTGCGACGTTGTTGCCGAGCTGGAGGAAGACGAGACCAGTGAAAAGAGCAAAAGCGCCGTGCTGGAACAGCCGAGTAAATTGGTAGTCGGGAGTGCGCCAGCTGACCAAGAATGTACGGTTGGCGACAGTCTTGATCTGGTACATGAACGGGGTGGCATATTCGGAAATTTGTCCTCGCTGCGTGGGCTTTTCGAGGCAGTCTCGCTTGATCTCTTGGATCTTCTCCAAATTGACGCGGTTGAGCTCTGATTCGTTGTAAATGTCTGCCCAGTCACGAGGGCCAACACGCTTTTGAGATCCAGCCCCGATGATGTCGAGCATTGCTTCCGCAGGGTTGACGTCGGCAGGCATCTTGGCGCCATTGGCTTCAAAGTAGTCGATGAGGTGCTGGGAGCCAGTTCCAATGTCGCCAAAGTAGACCGTGCGCCCGCCAGTGCTGGTACCGTCGCTGTTGATGATACCACGCTCCAGCAGCAGAAGGCGATCGAAGTGCTCGAACAGAAGACTGCTAGGCTGGTGGATTGTGCAGAGGATAGTCATACCTGCGTGGGTCAACTTGCGCAAAAGACGGACGATGGTCATGGAAGATGCACCATCGAGACCACTGGTGGGTTCGTCGAGGAAGAGTAGCTGGTTGGGCTTGGCTGCCAGCTCGACGCCGATGGTGACACGTTTGCGATCTGCGACGCTAAGACCAGCGACGGTCCACCCAATCATAGCGTCGGCAATGTCCTGCATCTCCATGAGCTCGATGATGTCTTCGACGTATTGATTCTTCTCCTCTTCGCTCGTGTGGTAGTCTTGACGCAGGTATGCACTGAATCGAAGGGCTTCTCGGACCGTGGCAGTAGGCTCGTGCAGGTCTTGCTGCTCGGCATATCCGCAAGCGCGTTGGAATTCCGTGTCGACTGGACGTCCTTCAACCAGACGGTCGCCTTCGATTTTGCCAACGCTCTTGCGATCAGCAAGGACATCAAGAAGCGTTGTCTTTCCTGCACCACTGGCTCCCATGAGAGCGGTCAGAGATCCGGGTACGCAGTAGCCGTTGATGTTGTCAAGCAATTGCCTTTGCCCGCCTTTGACTGGCACGGTGTACGAAAGGTTCTCCCAGGTGAACGCACGTCCTTCTGCCTTGAGTTCGACTTCGTCCGTCTTGCCTTCGAGGACCAGCTCACGACGCTCAGAGAGACGCGCGTT